AAACTGGGTGTCTTCAGACATGTTATTAAAAGTCAGCTCTTGTTCCTATAACAAATTTTTTATTCAGCTTAGTTTACTCTTGATCAAAGAAACACCAAATTTCCTTTCTTTTTGTAACCAGTTGATACCCAAACTCTAACTTTTCCTCCTCCCATTTGACGCCTTCATAAATTTTTTTTCTTCTTTTCTTAAGTCATGAAAATAATACAAAAATCCATCTTGCCCATCGAGATTAAATTTCTTTTCATCACTAAAGATAATTTTCTTCCAATCCTCAGTCTATGACATCACATTGCGAGCCAAGGCCATCCGAGCTAATTTGTGACGGGTATTAAAAACTGGCTTTCTTTTCAATTCTTTTCTAACTATTGTTTTTGACTTTTTAAATAATCTTTTGACATTCCACAGTTCTGTTTGAACTCCAGCTTCCTCAAAAATTGCTCTTGCTATTTTACAAGATTTGGATGCGGTTCGAAGAATATTCCGTGTCTCTCATAATGTCAAAGCAGGGGACCTCCCAGTGGAACGGTGGGTTCCATATGTCTCCTTGTGCCAAATAAACTTCGCGACCGATGAAAAACTCCGCTTGATTCTGCGGGCTATTTCCCTACAACTCATCCCATCCTTCTAGAGTGAAGAAACCAAACTGCGCTTTTCTTCGAAGAAACACTTATTTTTCTCATAACCAACGTTCTTTTTAGGTCTATTTTGAAACAAATTTGAAACACCACACTGAAGTAGAAATGGTATTTTAACGATTTCAATTTCAACTCTAGAGGATTAAGAGAATAGTAAACAACAAGTGTGTGTATCATTTTAAGGCATATAAATGTCAATATTTACTGTATTGGATTTAAATAATCCTCAAGTTCAATATCATAATTTATACTTTTATATTTAAACTGTTCTTAAAAAAATAATATCTATCAAAAATAAAGAAAACTTAAAAAGTTTTTTTAATTTCAATGGGCGTGTCTAACATTTTGACACTGAATGTTTTACAGCAACGAGCAACCCTTTTCATATTGCCCAAGAAAACCTAAAAGAAGTGTTGCATGTTCTGCGCAGGCTCATACAGACACAAATCATTAGTAATCGTTTGTGGGAAGTTGGTCTAACATTTTATGCACTTTTAAGACGATATGCAGTAATAGTGCCTCTGAACATGGCAAAGTCCGGAAATTGTTTTTTCATCTTATTAATATTTCTTGTAATTCTTTTGTCATCAAACACAAACATCTTAAATTTCTATTCTTTAAAACGTTGTAGAGTTCATTTATTATTCACATATTTTATTACTGCCTTGAATTTCATTCTGAGTCAATTTCTTCTGTTACTTATATAAAATCCAATATGATTTAAAAGAATTATAGCGTAAATTAGTACTATCCTCTATACTAAGGTTTTCATAAGTATCTTCCTTTTTTTTAATACGAAGAAAAATTTTTTTAAAAGAGACTATAAAATCAAAGCCAATGTTCCCACAAAAAAAATTAAATGCACTGCCCCAAATTCCGTTCAAAGATGGCGGTCTGGTGGTTTATACTTTAATTAGTTTTTTGGTCACTGAGAATCAGCATTTGGCTTAATTCATAGTTGGTCTTTTATCAAAGCTAGATAGTCAGAGAATAAGAAAACATGAAAAAATATTTAAAAATAATTGACTTAAGCAATAAAAAATACCAGTAAAATAATTGTTTTCAACAAAAAAATTTCAAGTGGAAAATCAAGCGTCGTTTGTAATTGAACGGCCAATAATAACGCAAAACGTGACGAAATAAAACATTTGGAGAATATATTTCTCTTTCTTTGTAAAACATTTGAATCAGTTCCGGAAAAAATGCACTCGGCTTATTTGCTTACAGGCCTCTACCACACCATTTAAAACTCAAAATGGTTTAGTTATAGTGCTTCAATAACGTGTTTGTTACATTATATTGGTTGTATTAACGAACAAATATTAATGCAATAATTTAATCGTCCAAAAAATTAAACACTTTTTTAAAATTTTATTATTTTATTTTATTCTTTAAATTTCACTTCCTTTATTCTATACGGAGAGCGTTTAAGAAAATCTCTATTGTAAAAATGATATAATTATAATAATAAAACTTAATTCAAAAATAGTTTGCTGAATATCTTGAATTTTTACTTATATGTAATGGTAAGTATTGCGATCGTGAAAATTTTTGAATCTGAGTTTCAACGGAAATGCACGTTTTGGTGTCTCCCAAGTCCTGAAAAATGGTCTGTGTTTCTGTATGTTAGCAGTCTAGCTCAAAAACGAAAAGTCGTACGAAACTAATATTACGTATTTAAGGTAAGTATATGCCTTAGATGTGACGGCAACTTTTTCCTTAAAATCGACTAACCGGAAGTGCCACTTAATATCAGCGCTGAAACACATTTTTGTGAACTTGTAAAATTGTTAGCTGAAACACATGGCCCACCGTGTATGAGCCAACAATTTCACTAAGACTCTGGAGCTAAATTCAACCTTTGGAACAGGAAAACCAAAAGAACTTACTGCAATTTTTGAAGGATAACAAATTGTATAAACTAATTTAAATTATGTAAAAGCAACACGGTGCCTCTAACCTTTGCAGTTGTACATGGTACCTTAAATTGTAACCAAATAAATAAATATGGTAAAAATAAAATACAAATTCCAGGGATAATAAATCATACATAACTAACAATATTCCTATTAATTTTTGATCAGTATATTTTTACTTTCCCTTACCTATTAATGTAAAAATTTTCGAATGTGAGTATTCAATGGAAATTCATGTTTTGAGGTCTCCTGAGTCCAAATAACCAAGTCCCACTAAATGGTCTGTGTGTCTGTTAGCAATCTAGCTCAAAAACGTCTAGAAAGTGAAGTTCTAAGAAAGTGAATTTGCATACATAAGGTTTTTATATGCCTCAGATGTTACAGCAACTTTTCCCTTAAAATTGGATGATCAGAAGTGTCACTTTATATCGACGGTGAAACACTTTTTTACAATTTTCTCAAAAACGGCTCCAACGATTTTGATTAAACTCGGTGTATCATTGTATAATTAAGTGGTCTTTAATATCATTAAGATCGTATCCCCATTGATGTCACTTTACAGGGCTTAAATGCCCAATGTTCATATACGTATTCTCTAGAGTACCTTTAATATGGATTATTTAAAAAAATGTAATCTCTTCTATTGACAGTAACTATAAAAAATGGCTAAAAATGAAGTTTGAAAGAATGTGATAATCAGAAACTGGAGAAAAATAGAAAAAATGCTTATCCAGGCTGAAAATGAATCTCCGGAAATAATAGTCAGAAGGTATACGTATAATATATCGTTGAAAAGCGGAGAATTTAGAAAAAATAAAATCAAATAAATAAAGTTGTAGAAGGTAATAGAGAGTGAATATAAATAATAATTTCAGAAAACAAAAATTATTTAACGTAAATCACATTTTTCCAATGAAATTTTCCGATTAAATGTAAACTTTTAAATTTTTTTCCAAGTTTGAAAAAAAGTATTTAAAATATCGCGTGCTAATGCCATTGTTTAAAATATTATTTAATTGTATTTGTGTGAAAGAAAAAGTGAAATATAAAAATATTTCATAGATATGTTTATAACCTTAAATATATACTTTAGTATAATAACTCTAGATCTGATGTTATATTTAAATAATAAGGTATCTATCGTCCGTTTATTCGGAATAATCATCATGTAACCTTTTAGAAAATTAAATTAGTGAATAATTTGATGAATTTTTCCATTGTGATATTCCAAAAGTATCCACTTAGTTAGTCATTCTGTCAGCTGAAAGACTCAGAGAATGAAGTTATGTGGTTTATAAAACTGTATTCTTATTGCGAGAGACTTTTTATAATTTTAATGTTCTTTATGGTTTTTATCTGTAAGTTTTAAGCTTTGTCTCCGTTTAAAATGCACAGGTGTGTCCCACAAGAATTTTTTTTTATGCGAACAAAAAATATTTTATAAGAAACTTTGTCAACAACGAAACGTACTTTGAAACAGTTGTGGGACGACCGAAATCGATGAAATAAGCGGACAATCAGCAGATACGTCTGCATGCTTACAAACATACGTAGCCGGCTCGAGGTGAAACAAAGCGTGACCCGAAAAAACCCACGGCACGACCTAACATTTTGGCTTGGAAGCACAATTTCGTAGTTTTGAGGTTACGAATCAGTCACAAATCATTTTCGATACCTGACAGACAACGCCGTAATTTACAAGTTTTAAAAATATCTGTATATTAATTTAATTAATGAGCAATAGTAATGTATTAAATAATTATCGTTTAAATATTAGTTAAAATAGATCAAAATTGTTTATTCTCCAAAAATATATACGGTACATTTATTATATACTTATGATGTTAGTGCATCCAATTTCATTCTCAATTAATTTCTTCTCTTACTTTTCTTAATTTCAATATAATTTCAACGAAATATAGCGTAAATTATTGTCTCCCACAAGTATCCTTCCTTTTTTTTTTTATTCGAAGGAAAAAGATTTACCTATCTATTAATAACTGTAAATAATGTACTAATCTAAATTTTTAGTTTATAAATAAGGCACTTCGTATCATAAATTGAAGTTTATGGGAGAGTTGGCTGCAGTAGTGCCCATAGGTTCGAATAACAGTTTTATCACAAAATGCACACAGTAAAGATTTACAGATGCTGGGTAATGGAGACAAATATCAACATTTCTAAGCACCCCTCAATAAAATCACAATACTCTAAAAATGTGCACTCTTCACCTCCCCAAAAAAATTGATGGTTCAACTCGCGCAATACAGCCCCCTTTCTGGCTGGCTGTACCAAATTATTGAACAATCAACAAACATAAACAAATTGAACTTGAAAATTAAGCATGGCATCATTCCATGCTGTAGCAATTTGACGCACAAGGCTGCTGAATTCTTATTAGTTACTACCAAATTTATAATTCTTACTAATAAAAATAGGTTCAAATAAAAGTTTTATTACAAAATACACAGTGTGCAGATTTACAGAAATTTCTGGGAAAATAAAGGTCGATAATTTAAAAAACGAACATTTATTACAAAAAAATAACAAAAAATGATATTTACAATGAAAAAGTCAACGTTCTCTTTCATGATGGTGAATAACGTGGTGAATTCGAACTACTTGGGTATCGACCTGAAAGAAGAAATTCTTTAAGTATTGAAATTCATGAAAATTATAAATAAGATATGATTAAAAAAAATAGATCCTATTTGTAAAAACTAAATTTATAATACTACATGTGCTACATTGTATATAAATTATTTCACTAAAACATTTAATAGAATTACCCAAAGTTTTTGATAAATGCAGTAAATATTTGACTAGTGCCCCAAAGCAGCGTGAGCGGCAGCTTTGTGTGCGAGGAAAGAACTTCCCAGCCCGGAGCTGACGCCACCTGCATAGAGCCCAGAGCTGAAGCCGCTGCCATAATGTCCTGAACTAACACCACCGCCGTAGAGTCCGCTGCTGTACAGGCCTCCGCCGTACAAGCTGGATCCTCCAGAGATGACTCCAGACCCTAATCCATAGCCGGAGCCGAGACCATAGCCGGAACCAAGGCCGATTCCAGAGCCTAGACCAATACCGGAACCAAGGCCGATGCCGGAACCAAGGCCAATGCCGGAACCAAGGCCAATGCCGGAACCAACTGCTAACAATAGAAATTTATTTATTAACAATAGAAATTTTGAAATAATGTAAGGATTATATCGAATTGACTAATTCATACCAATCGGAGCAGCTCCAACTGAGACAGGTACTGCCTGTGGTACTGGAACAGGAACATTATTTACAACAGGTACAGGGACTGGAGATGGTACTGGAACTGGAACAGGTCTTGGTACTGAAACTGTAACTGGATGTGGAACTGAAACAGGCACTGGCCTATCGACTGTTACTGGATAAGGCCTGTTTACAGGAACAGGGTATGGGTGGTTGACTGGAACTGGTACTGGCCTATTGACTGGAACTGGGACCGGATGAGATACTGGAACAGGAACTGGTCGGTCTACTGGCACACTAACAGGCTGAGGCACTGGGACTCCAACATGGTGATGAACTGTGACTTGGCGAGATATAACTCCTCCACCATATCCAAGTCCAGATCCCAAACCAATTCCAGAACCCAAGCCAATGCCTGAGCCTAAACCGATTCCAGATCCCAGTCCGATTCCAGACCCCAAACCGATTCCAGATCCCAATCCGATTCCAGAGCCCAGCCCAACGCCAGAACTCAAACCAACACCTGATCCAAGGCTAGAACCCAATCCTATTCCCGATCCATAACCAAGTCCAAGTCCAGATCCGTATCCATATCCACCACCATATCCATATCCGCTTCCGTAGCTACCACCATATCCGTAACCTCCAGTATATAAGCTAGATCCTAATCCACCAGTTCCAAGTCCACCAGCGAAGATTCCTCTTTTTTCTGGTTTCTTTTTTTCTACTGCATCTTCAGCTAATGCGATTGCAAGAAAAGCACACAACAAAAATGTTTTCTGAAAAAAAAAAAAAAGTTTCACTAGGATGCTTTCCTTATTTTATGTGTCTAAATAATAATACACTGTATCATAAATGTTATTTATTATTAATATGCTTGCAGATATAATAATGATATATATTGTCTGTAGCGCCAACCGAAAAAAAATATGTATATATATATATATATATATATATATATATATATATATATATGTATATATAATTTAAACAAATTATTTGTTGTAAGAATTAAGATAGGCGGAATTGAGTGTATTTTTTTGAGCTAAATATAAATAAATAAAAAAATACGAAAGGAAATGATATTCCTAATTATATTGGCGTGGTGTTTAATTATAATAATAAACAATCCCAATACATTACAATATTACTTTTTAACCTCATTTATTGTTATTATTTGTTTGATCTATTTTTAATTTTATATATATCGAATTCAATGAGTTGTGAGTGGCTGAATTTTAATTTTAAAGTTTTCAAATGTTACTTACTATTTGGTTCATTTTGATTCTTAAGTTGCTCTTGTGAAAATGTTGGAAGGACTGATGATCCAAAGACCAAATTCGCTTTATATATACGCCTGGGATTGGTCCTGACATTTGGCCAGAGGCAAGAAGTGGACCTCCTCCTTTCAAGCTATCCTCCATTTATGTAATATCGGGGATAAACAAAAATTATGTAAAACTGCGAGACAGTCTTCATCTTGCCATTCTATGTGCAGCATGAGTGCAATTTTTATCTGCGGCCCATATTATTTAGGGATATTTACACCATTCAATTTACGAATAGCACCTAAAGATCGATGTTTTTAGTATAATGTTGTGACTAAGCCAACCATCGAGGTTTTATACTATCGGACGAAGAAAATCAAATATCTACCAATATATGTAAAGAATCTTTGTTAAAAATTTTCGAAATGAAAATTTTAATTATTAATCTTTGTTAAAAATTTTCGAAATGAAAATTTTAATTATTAATCAATATCACTATCCATTATATGCTGATTCAGACCAAGGAAATCATTCATTACTGAAATAAACTAATTGATTATTATCTATATTTGTATTACACATTACTATTATTTAGTATAGTTTCGAGTTTTTTTACCTTTTAAGGATTATTTAATTTGATAATTATTTAATTCATTTATTGTATATCTGTAGGTATTTTTAAAATTACTTATCTTAAAATAAAGAGAAACGACATTAATATATTTCATATAAATGTTTCACTATAAATCAGTTTCTAATTCAATTATAACGTAGTACAATAATATCACAGGTTGATCATAATAGGTTATCTTTCCTTAATCTCCATATTCCCATTAAACTGTACACAGATGTTTAATTTCTTCAAATGAGATTAAAATTAATTTTGAAGAAAAAGAACATTTTTTCTGTACTCACATATACAGGTCAGTGAACACTATTGAACCTTTATAATTTCAATTTAGATCTGATAGCTTTTAGAAATACCTGAAAAATAGTTAGTACCAGTAAACCTCCGAATTAAAAAATTATTGTCAATAGTGTGACAACACAGATTAGAAATTTAATAAAGAAATGGATATCATCACTATGGAAAGACAAAGTCTTCGCAACTTACGGAAATCATCGTAAATTCTGTAAGCTCTCACAGAAACACTTAAAAAAGAAAAATTCGGTCAGATTAAACCATGATAGGCTAATGTAGACTATGGAACAATAGTACAGATTACCACAGAGAAGTCTTGGACCGCACTACGATATCGACCCAAAATGATCTGATTGCCCAAAGAGAAAATTTCATGTTTTTTCTCCGAAAACATTGAAAAGTATTCTCATAAGAACTAAAAGAAATAAAGTTCCATGAATGGATATAATTCAAAACATTCTGCAAAATAACTTTCGAAGAAAGGTCTGATATGTCTGTCACTTATATACCACCTGTATTAGGCTCAGATATTTCCTTGCATCTTGGAAACATGCTATACTGTATCCTTTGCTGAAACCTGGGGAACAAGGAGATAAACCTGAGCGTGATTGTCCAATTAGTTTGTTGTCTCACATTTCCAAAGTCATTGAAAAAATAATCTTGAAATATCTACAAGACTGTTGCCAGGAAAATTGCATAATCCCTGACCAACAAACAAACTGGGTGCCGAAATCTGCTATGCAACAAGCAGCCTTTAGCAAAAGTTCAAAACCAAATTACTCAAAAACTGGAACGTAACCCTACCACTGCGATGATCTCGATTGACTGTTCAAAGGCCTTTGATTAAGTTTCGCATTCCATTCCAAGTCAAAATTTGAAGTGTTTGCAATGCCCAGAACAGTTGTATTCTATTTTGCAATCGTTTCTCAATGACTGAAGTCTTATTGTGCATGTTGGTGACAGTTACTCGAAGACGACACCTTTGATGTAGATTACCTCAAGGTGCGGTTCTTTCACCAACTTCATTCAACATCTACACTGCTGAAATATTTCTTAAAAATTATATGATGGCATCTGTGATCGCATATGCGAACGACATTGCTACATATACCGTATCAGTAGGGATGCTAAAAAAGCATTGAAATAAGCGAAACAGACCTGAAATATCATAGATCAACTCAAATTATTAAATATAAAAATAAATTCTTCAAAAACTGACTGTATAAGTGATGATGGTGATCGTGTTGTTTTGTGGCAGGAAAATCTTACCAACCAACAAGTGTTTTTAAGTAGTAATGAAGAAATTGAATTATTAGACCAACACTAAAAAATCTTCTTTCCTTTTGATTGTTTTTTTTAAACTATTGTCCAGCATAATTCATAATTTTTCCTAACTTGAAAAAAAATCAAGGGGTATTTTCGATCTTTATGAAATTCAAGTCTGCTATGATCGATCGCTGTGTTATGTGTTTCTTTAAATGGAAAAAAAAAATTATGATGATGGATTCATCTTTGAACAGCAAATTAGCTGCTTATTTCTTATGAAGATTCTCAACGCCCAATAAATACCTAAATAATCAAAATATTTTTTAATAATAATTTTATGAAAATATACTAAAACTACAATTTAATTTATACTTATTTACAAATATCTTTTATCCACTCATAAGATTTCCAGCAAATGTATTATTTTCTATCATTGTGATTGCAATTCCCTGTATACTAACATGTCTTACAAATAAAAGTAGCTGTGATGACTGTTGTGCTTTATACCAGAAAATAAAAAAATATCACCTAACTACTTGAATCAGTGTATAAGTCGAATATATTTTCAATAAGATAAGACTCATAAGATTTCCAGCATACGTATTATTTTGTAACATTGCAATTGTAATTTCCTATATAATTTCAAGTCAAATTTCGAATTTTTCAAACCAAATTTGGATTTTTTCAAATCAAATTTAGAATTTTCCAAATCAAATTTGGATTTTTTCAATTGAAATTTAGATTTTTTAAAAATCAATTTTAGAATTTTCCATTTCAAATTAAGCTTTTTCCAAATGAATTTAAGACTTTTTATAACACCAAATGAATAGGGTACTTTTGTTTTCTTATTAAATTCCTTTGACGTAGTACCTATTTTAAACAATAAGGTTAGGTATTATAGCATTTTTTTTAAAATTTATTTACTTATGATATTTATAACTGTATTAAAATAAAACTAAATCTAGTAAATGTGTACACAGGAATAATGCAATCACATGGAAACGCTTGTTGAGAAAATTATAGCATTTAAAGCCCAATTTTAGAAATTTTCAAATTAAATTTTTAATTTTCTCCACAACTATTTTCATGTGATTGTATTATTCTTGTATACACATTTACCAGATGAATTTTTAATTTAATACAGTTTTATATACTAACATATCTTACCAATAAACGTGGCAGTGATGGCCGTTGTGTTTTTTTGCTAGGAAATAAAAAAATCTCATCTACCAACTTGAATCAGTGTATAAGTGGAATAGATTTCCAATACATATTATACTCCCTTTTTTTAAAATATTCTTTTTAAAATTTAAGCTCTAATAGTTACCACAAATCCTCTTAATTAAGATAACGTATGAGGTCTACGAAATTATATACATGATTTAAAAAAAAAAACTTTATTCACACGTTCAAAATAAAAAATATAAACACTTAAAATGATAATTGCAGTCTTGGTTTATGATTAGATGAGTTGAGATGATCCTTCTCCATCTGGCTTTAAAACAATAATTAATAAAATAAAAATTGTACATGTACTTCAATAGATACAGTTGGATATTTACTACCAATGTTTAGAATTGTGATAAATTAAATATTTACCTCGAGAATATCACTAACGTCCATATGCAGCTAATTTGGCTGAAAGGAGTGATGTTCCTGATCCCAATCCTAAATTAGAGCCAAGAGAGATACCTGAACCGATCCCGCCAAAAGCTATGGAATCATATCGAGTTTATATCTTTTGCTTTATTATGTACTTCTTTATGGGTTTTGAAATTTAACTTACCGGCAGGAGGAGCACCAACAGGAACTAGAATTGTCTTAACGACCGGAACTGGTAGAGGAACAGGAACAGCTACATTATTGACGACTGGAACCGCGACTGGAGATGCAACTGGGAACGGCACTCGTTGTGATACTGGAACGGCTACTGGCTGAGGAACTCCTACTGCTACGGGTCTATCTACAGCCACTGCAACAGGGCGGTCTACTGGCACGGCAACATCCCGGTTCACGGCATATGGTACTGGCCTGTCGACTGCAAATGGAACTTTCTGAGGTACAGCGACAAGTATCGGCCGATCTACTGCCACCGCGATGGGCTGCTGAGGTGAAATTACCTGATTTGATTTCAAATCAATTCCAGATATGAAACTGGCTCCTGAAGACAGGGCTGTTCCTAATGACTGGCTAACGCCAGAGATAGAACCACCTCCAGAAGAGAGGCTGATTCCAGAAGGTTGTGTTGAAGCCGAAGACAAGTTAATACCGGAAGAAATACTCGTTCCCGAAGCAATACTTGTTCCAGGAGTTATGCTGTTTTCAGAAGAAAGGCCTGTACCAGAAGATAGACTGATTCCGGAAGAAACGCTTGTAGCAGAAGCTGTGTTAACTCCAGAAAGAATTCCTGGTCCTTGTAATGCACTATTTCCAGAAAGAAATCCTATTCCAGAAGGCAGACTGTTGGCTGAAGATATGCTGTTTCCCACAGCACTGTTTCCCACTGCAGCAGTAAGACCTATCCCATAGGGAATATTGATCCCAGAAGGAATGCCCAGAGAAAGCCCTTCAACAATACTCCTTCTTTCGGGTGCTTTTTTATCTCCTGTCGCAGTAGCCAATGACCAGGTGAATATGAGGCTGATCATATATTGGCACTAAAAAACAAATAAGCTTTTAAATTAAAAACAAAAATGTTAATAAAATGATTTTTTTAAAATTTAATTTAAGAAATTTTTTAATAAAAATATTGAAAGCAAAACATAGAAATAAATAAGTTCAGTTATTGTTTTATAACAGTAAAAACAAAACTTTTTTGGTAATTACAACTTAAAATAATACAATAAGGAAAGAGAAGCTGGATGACTTTTTCACAATCACTTTTTTCGGAAGAATAAGGTTTTAATCTGACCCATTGCCACTATATAGCTGTTAGTTTGATGAATCTCTCAGGTTTCGCTGTAATGAT